TGAATAAGTACAGGGATATATTTGCCTCGTACGAGGGTGATTTGGGTTACACGGAAGTAATCAAACACCAGATACCCTTACTACAAGACAAGCCGGTGGCGCAACCTTATCGAAGATTACCACCGAGTCACTACTCGGAGGTGAAAGCACACCTGAACGATCTACTAAAAAAGGGAATTATTACAACCAGCACGAGCCCGTATGCGGCACCGATAGTAGTGGTAAAAAAGAAGTCAGGGGAGATAAGACTGTGCTGTGATTACCGGAAATTGAACAATATCACAAGAAGGGATGCATTCCCCTTGCCTCGTATTGATGAATGTCTTGATGCGTTGGGGGGAGCAAGATTTTTTTCTACCTTGGATTTGGCTAGTGGCTACCACCAAGTGGCCATGCACCCCAACGATCAACATAAAACTGCATTTATTTCTCCACTGGGACTGTACGAGTGGACCCGTATGCCGTTTGGTTTGACTAATGCACCTGCTACATTCCAGCGAGTAATGCAGAGTGCTATGAGTGACTTTCTATTTCAAATAATGTTGGTGTACTTGGATGATATACTAGTTTATTCAAAAACTTGGGAGGACCATCTAGAAAGATTAGAACAAGTGTTTCTCCGTCTTAGGGAGATAGGAGTAAAGCTGAACCCAGACAAATGCTGCTTTGGTTTGAAATCGGTACATTTTTTGGGTTACGTGATTTCGTCGGATGGCATCGCCACTGACCCAGATAAAATTGCAGCTGTTAAAGAATGGAAACAACCAACAACTACGGTAGAGGTCAGGTCATTCTTGGGCTTTGCCTCCTATTATAGAAAATTTGTGCCTGGTTTTGCAAAAATTGCCGCACCATTGCATGACTTGGTAAACAAAATGACAAAGAAACACAGTAAGGAGAAAAAGAAAGGTAAAACACAACTGATAGGTGAATTATGGACTGATGAATGCCTGAACTCGTTTAAGCTATTGAAAAAGGCTTTGACAGAGGCGCCGATATTGGGATACGCGGACTTTGACAAACCATTTCGGCTAGAAATTGACGCCAGCTCTAAAGGTCTGGGAGCTGTGCTATCACAACAACAAAAGCAAGGTTTCAGGGTTATTGCGTATGCCAGTCGAGCTCTGAAGGGATCAGAGAGGAACATGACAAATTACAGCGCCATGAAACTAGAACTTTTGACATTAAAATGGGCTGTGACTGAGAAATTCAGGGACTATCTATTAGGTGCTAAATGTGTGGTATACACTGACAATAACCCCTTGAGTCACCTAAAGACAGCAAAGTTGGGATCCATCGAACAGCGATGGGCAGCAGAATTGGCACTCTTTGATCTAGAGATAAAGTATCGCCCGGGGCGGTCCAATGGCAATGCGGACGCCTTATCAAGGAATCCTTACGAGAGACCGGGTGATGAGGAAGAAACACTGACAGGAATATGTGAGGTCAGAGCGTCAACAGATATCCCTCATGGGGTACAAGTGATGCAAAACGGGCAGACCGGGGTGGAGCACATATCCACAGAGCCCGAACATATGGACAGTAGTGATTTTAATTGCCTTAATCACAAAAAGATAAGAGATGCCCAGAGAACGGATAGTGGCTTACAGCCGCTGTTGAAACACGTCCAGGAACAAAAATTCCCAGGAAGAAGGGAAAGAGAACAATTTGGTCGAGAAACAAAGAAAATACTGAGTCAGTGGGACCGTCTCAGTATAGAGGATGGTGTTCTCATGCGGAGAATTCATGACCAAATTGATGGGACAATACACCAGGTGGTGGTGCCTGGACAGTTACGAGAAGAAGTGCTAAGGTTGGCACATGACAGGGCAGGACACCAGGGTCAGGACAGGACGCACAAGATATTACGACGGAGGTGTTACTGGCCCAATATGGAAATGGAGGTCAAACGCCATTGTGAGGCTTGTGTGAGGTGTCAGCATGCGAAAATGCCAGTTGTCAAATTGAGACAGCCATCAGGACACCTACTAGCGACAAAACCACTAGAGATTGTGGCTATGGACTTTACGTCGTTGGAGCAATCATCGGATGGGACGGAACATGTGTTGGTAATGACTGATGTATTCACCAAATGGACGGTGGCGGTGCCCACGCGAGATCAGACTGCCAAAACAGTGGCAAAGGTCTTAATAGAACATTGGTTCATCAAATATGGCATACCAAGACAATTACACTCTGACCAAGGAAGGGCTTTCGAGTCAGAAGTAATTAACCAACTGTGCAGCCACTACGGGATCAACAAATCTAGAACAACCACATTTAATCCGAAAGGAAACGGACAGTGTGAACGGTTCAACCGCAGCATGCATGATTTGCTGCGTACGCTAGAACCTGAACAGAAAAAACGTTGGCCTGATTTTCTACCAGAGTTGGTATATCTATACAACTGCACACCCCATGCCACAACCAGCTTTGCGCCATACATGTTGCTGTTCGGACGGGAGGGTCGACTCCCTCTTGATTCGTTCCTAGGAAAAAGGGAGAGTATGACTGGCTCATACACCGCACTGGAATATGTGAATGAACACATGAGAAGAATTAGAGAAATGTACAGGGTAGTACAGGAAAGACTAGAACATGAAGCACGGCGAAGGGAACCGCCGGTACAGACAAAGGACCCGCCACTCAAACTGAATGACAGGGTATTACTGCGTAGCCACCCGTTAGGCAGAAACAAAATCCACGATCACTGGGGACAGGAGATATGGCAAGTCGTGGAGATGCCTAAAGGAGCAGGTGGCCCCTTTAAGATAAGACCCATCGATCACGCCAAACCGGATCGGTGGGCGAATATTGCTCAATTAAAGAAATATTGGAATAGGCAAGAAGAGCAGTTACACACAAGGAAATCCAAGACAATTAGGGAACCGGAAACTATAACGGAAATTCACATACCCATCCCGGAACCATATCACCATCAACAGAACAACCGCGATACACAAGTGGAGGATAACGGCAACAAAGAGGATCCCGTTCCTTCCAGAAGCAGAGAGACAGTAGACCATCAGATAAGTGGTCCGCGGAGAAGTTTGAGGAACAGAAGGAAGACGAAATTTTTTGTCAGCAACCATCAAGTCTTTCATGGTCGCGCTGGTATGAGAACAGACGGTTCAAAAAGCTATAAAAGTGAACTGGTGAAGGCACCAAACGAAAAGGGTGGATGTGAATTCTAGAACTGTTTTGTGTCTCAGGAAGATGATGTAGACACAGTTGATATGTGAAATAGGTATAACTGTCAATCGTATACGAATGGGACGTCGTGGACAGTGAGTGGAATAATAAAATTTTTTTACGATTGTGCGATTGACTTTGGAGGAGTGCACCTGCCAGGCGTTGTTTGTGGTTGAAAACACACAAAAAAAGGCAGGGGTGGATGTGACTAGGGTAGGCCTAGCCACTAGTTACAAATCTGATAACGAACGATAAGCCGAGACGCAGTATTACAGTCTGATGCAACATAGCAGGTGGCTTATTGGATCGGACTGATAACAATCTCAAAGCCAACGCGTGCTATTTTGGGAAACGGTACGAGGGGATTCAGACAGCCTGTCAACTTTGATTGATAGGATGCAGATGTTATTTCACGGACTGTACGTTAGAACTGCGCAACTAGTGGTCGGAGACATCGAGTACAAGTATCGATTACGGAGGAATACAAGTACAAAGACGAGTACGGATACAAGGGATAAATAGGAGGGGACGGCTGAACTCGTTCTCTTCCCTCTTCATCGCTCGCTTTAGATCAGTCAGTCTGTGTGACATATCAAGTTGGTTATATTGTGTTAAGAAGGACAATAGACATGTGGATTCAGTTATATGAAGCCTAGTGAGGACTGTTAGGGGTCAGTTGATTCAGACTATTATTGTGAAACATTCCTGTTGATTCATTGTGTTATATTGAAGCATTTCTTGATTCATGTAATAAAAGGATCAATAGCGAACCTGCATCTTCGAGTCTTTCTACTGTAGTCGATGTTGTGTAGCATGAGTGGTTCAACTCGTTACAATTGGCGTTGTCGGGCAGGATAGACTCGGGGAAGGTCACATATATATATATATATATATATATATATATATATATATATATATATATATATATATATATATATATATATATATATATATATACATATAAGAAACACAATGTCAGACTGGATTCTTGCACTAAAACCTTTTCGAGTAATTGAATTCATTAGAATAACTTCAAGAAGAAAGGTAACACAAAGTAAAAAGAAAAGGAAACAATACAATTAACCAAAAGGAAACAATAAAAATAAAACAAAAATAAAACAACGAGAAATAATAAAGTAAAAAAGGGGACACAACGTGGGAAACAAGCGGCAGCAACACTGATGTAACGTATGGCTAGCATTCAAAAATATATTCAATTGAATAAAATCAACATCTGAAGGAAGCTAGAAATAGAAAGAAAAAACACTACAAAACCCAGTGTATATAAATCGATTATTTTCTCATTTCATCTTTTATTATTCATCAATTTTTTTTTCATTGTTTTGTATAATGCTACATTGTTGTTGTGTTTTACACTGATTACGTAAAGTTTCTATGAACAAACTTCTAAAGTAGTATTTATTACAAAATTAGTATCTTTATGAGGCTTCATTTTTAAACTAGTTTGCATTTTAAATAAATATTATCACAGTTTATTAATTTCATTTTTACATAAAAGCGGCAAACATGAAGAAACTACGCTATGGAAAACGTAAACTTGTGATAATGTGCTATTCCAGAGAAAAATAAATAATGTCTGTAAAAATATCTGCATAAAATAAACTAAAAAAACAACATATTTGCAATTTGTTTACAATGCTTTGAATATTTGATTTTATTAATCTTAAACAATAATGTGCAAGTTACAAATTTTGTTTAGGGACCTGCCGTTCATGCATACAAATATATGAATACTGAGAACCTTAAATCATGGTACCACCCGTAGTAACCGGTCCTCTTTTGTTATGCTAATGATTTTCAACCGCTTTTAAACGTTGAAACGCTTTCATTTTTCGTTTACAAGAAAAAATTCCCTTGTACGTTTTCGCAAATTTAGAGCTTGCCGTGACATAGATGATGAAGTTGATGGAAGCGTTGATCTGGTAGAGGAACCGCTCAACAATCAACATGGCGGTCTCGGTGGAGAGGTCAATCTCTGCCGTCTGCATGTACAGGTCCATACACATCGGCGGACCCAGCAGCGTAACGTAGGTCACGCAGACGATCAGCAACATCTTGACTGCCTTCAAATCCCTGACCTGTCTTGATACAAGTCTGCTAGTGTTTTGGTGCATTGTTTTCGATGTTATCCAAAGTTTCAAGACAATCAACAAACTGCAGATAAGAACAATTGCTAAAGGAAAACCTGCGATGAAGTTTGTTAAATATATCGTTACGAAAAGATATAGATCGTTGAATAATTTACTCGTATAGAAAATATGTTGGTCTGTTATAGATGTGTTTAGAGTGCTGTCGTATTGAAGATAGTTTAAAGCGAATTCAGGGATAGATAATACTGAAAGGTAGATGTAAACAGCGAGGACGATTAATTTCATTCTCGACGGGGTGATGAATCTGGACACGTAAAACGGTGACCAGACGGCGAAAACTCTTTCCACAGCAATCACAGCGACGTGGACTAGACCGGACACGTTAGAGATGGTGTTAGCAAACGCTAGATGTTTAGCGTAGAAGACGTACACCTTCATAGCCAGGTAAGGGTCGTAGATTTTAATAGCATTGTGGACACACGACATGGATGTTGTGATAGAGAAGAGTAAGTCCGAGAAGGACAGTGACGTCAGAATGATGTTGGTGGTGTCGTGGAAACCGTGTTTGGTCAAGACGATGATGTTGAAGATGTTCCCGGTAACACCTAGCACGCAGATGATCTGGATGAAGATGACGTTGATGAAGAAATCCAGATCCAACATATAGTCATGAAGGAAGTCTCTAGAGAGGAAGTTGTCAGTGAATGCATCGATAAGATCTTCGAAAAACGTTTTCAAAGTCCTATTGCGAAGATTGAAATCAAAATCGACATCCATGGTTAACGGTTAAATCTTGCAGATCATTCTAAACAAAATATAAAAACAAACATGCGTTGTTCACAACAAAAAAAATGTTTTATTTCCTCTTATTTATTTATGCTAAAAGTTGTGTTAAAGTTTTTAAAAAAATATCTAGAAATGTGTTCTTATTCTTATTATAAAATGTGTATTTTCGTTCTATATAAACACTGTGTTCCTTCGTGTTCTTGTATGGTCTTGCATATATTCGTCAAAACCAAGTAAACACAAGCATACATCTTTTGTACCAGCCGTAAGATATCAATAATAATTTATATTTCTACACTAATAAAATAAAAATTCGTCGCCTGCTGCGGTAAGAAAGACAAAGAGAGACATAAGTATGTGATTTAATTTTACATCAAAAGGGTGATGTAGATAGCCTAAGATAATAGTTATAAATGTGTACGTCGTTTCTTTTTATGTGGGTTGTTGACAATTTGTAATCGCGAAGCCGATTTGATTCTGAAAATAAAAGTGTTTGTATTATTTTATTTTCATGTTGACCATAAAATACGATTGTAAAATATACATTACTATTTCTGATTGGACGATACTTTTACATTTAGTTATGAGTTTGTTTTTTGTTGAAGTTTTTTTTTAATATGCTCGTTGTTTTATGAAGTTATTGGTATTATAGAGCCTAAAATAGTTCAAATGACGGCCTGCGAAACAAAATAAAATTAAGCTAATGTACTTTGCGAATTTAATAAAAGAACACACTTACGTTTAGGCTGTTAAATGTTTGTAAACTTTTACAGAGTTTTATAAATATGACTCATCTTTTTTTTTCTTTTCAAAATTTTCAATAAATATTTACGAGGGAATCGTATAGCATTGCTACACAAAGTTTAATCAATACTAAGCTCGGGAGTTTTTGTTGCGATACTTTGTAACCGCTAGATAAGAAAGGGAAAACTATTTTTATTGTTTCTTTTATTTTCGTTGTTAATGTAATAATCACATACGTAACGTTCATTTTTATTGACATTTTTTTCAGGCTTTAACTTTCCACAAGAGGTAATGAAAATAAAATGTCAAAGATAAAAAAAAAAAGATTAATTACTTTTTTACTTTAGAAAGTAGCTTTTAAAAATAAAAGTAATATTTGAGTTTGATTTTTTTCATTAAAAAAATCACATTTTTAAGAAAGCAGTAAACATATCTTTAACATGACCAGTTTAGTGCCCAAAACTAACTTGAGAAATAAAAAAAAACATTGATGTGCCTGTTCTCAAACTTATTGTGATGACTGCATAAAGTACCTTGATTTATATGCCGAGTGGCTTGTAATATTCAAGCTTTCTTTAAACTTCATCTAGTCATCACTAGATAACGGAAATAAAAGTGAAAAAAAATGGTTTCTAACCTGGGTTCAATCAAACCCCCAGGGGCTCGGAGAGTCAGTCTTAGGGGTTCGGTTGAGGTCAAGATATACGCCCGACTTACATAATTCACAATAAGATTTGGTCAGCGCACCAAACCATAATATAAGAAGGGTACGGTACATCCAGATGTTTTATGAAAAAAATTAATTTGTAGCTTTTTGTCGGATTATAAGCAAGCTATATCACACGCGCACATATGTAAATACCTGGAACATGCTTTACTGTTGCTGCAGGTAAGCACATGTAGTGTCATGTGCCTGGAAAATATGGTAAAAATAATAGTTTAACTGTATACTATGCGTAAACGTGGGAGATGTTTGCCAGTTAAAATGCGTAAACATGGGTCACATAAAATAGTTAAACTGTATGAAATGCGTACAAGTGAGTCACATTCTTTATACATTCTTTTGTAAGCAATTGTTAGTTTTAGATAGGCTACAATATCATGTAACTTATACGTAACAAGTATATATAATAGTCATTTTAAACGTATAATACTTAATGTTACAAACTATATAAACTTTTAAGAAAACTTAAATTTAAAATCATTCAAATCTTCATATGCTTGGTATAAGAACTAATACAATGATAGACAGTATGTGGATTGTGGCTATTGATAAAGGACACACGGTAAATTAGTGAGGCATTATACTCATGTCTATTTATAAAGACATACATTTATACTTTTATGTCAACAAACAAATGACCTGCCCTTTGAATACTCTTATAACTTCAAAAGGAAACTTTAATCAAAACGGGTCTAGGTATTTTGATTGTTCTTTGTATGAAAGTTGACAATGGCAACAATATTGATTCGAGATTTTAATCGTAGATTAACAATGTATTAATTATTCACGTAGATTTTGGTTTCAATAGCTCATGTTCTGGAAGCTTTGCAGTTGTAAATGGCCCGACGATTTAAATCGTAGGTTTGTATAAACTTATACAAAATATGACTTAATATCAGAGCAATAGTAGGCCTATAGGCGATTTGAAACGATCCTAGTTAACAGTCATTTTAGAATAAGAATGTAAAATGTCCAACTTCTAATAAATATAATTATGTTTTAGGTTAACACGTTAAGTAAGGACAGCTCTTTTTTATATGATTTATTTGGTGTTATTGCCACTAAAAATTAAACATCGCACTTTTTAAACTCAATGGTCCTACATCATCGTAATTTCAAGATAAGTCGTGTCTTCGTTCCTCGTTTTCTACTACAATAAAATCTCCCTTACACTATGTTGGTCTTTTTTTCTTCTTGTTTTGGTTTTAATCTCCACGCTATTATACATAGGATTTTCCTAAAATTTTGCACATTGGAGTTTTCTAAAATTTATTTTTAAATTATAAAGTATCTGCAGAGTTGAGTATATCAGTTGGACAACATTGTCAAAAATGTTTGAAAAACCATACTGTCTCAATCTATATAACAATTTTTGACATTTAATTTAAAAAAACAATTACAGCAATATTACACTAACCTTTCGGTAAATAGTGTAGTCATTATACGAAATATGATTTGAATTGGTTAGAAAAGATGTGTGTTAGAGTTTGGCTATTGTAAGTCATGAACAATTGAAATAAATCAAATGATACTGCGTGAGTTACTTGTCTTTAAGTGAATTATTGTTCTTATATGAGTTTATAATCCTTTTATGAGTTACTGTTACTTATATTCATTACTAATTCCTTATGCTAATCACTGGTTCGTATTCTAGTCATTAAGAGTCCTTGAAAGAGTAAGTGAACGTTATAAGTTGTATGCGTTAAATATATAATCATTACTTTACCAAAAGACCAGTCAAATATAACAAATTGCATTGCATGAATTGAAATCAGTTGTACTAGCTTATACTCTCTGAGCAGCTTACAATAGCTTTTTGGTTACCTCAGGTTATTTGACCTGGCCACCGTGACCTTTACAATGCACAACTCTGCTGCCGACTGTATGTGTAGATCTTCGATACGCTGTTCTTTATATTCGATGAGTTAATTATTAATGTGTGTGGATTGTGCTAGTATTGTTTCTTCTTTTCAGTCGCTTATCTCTCAATCGCGGAAAAATAGATGTTATGAATTCATTTGCTATTGATATGTTGGGAAGTCAATAGGTGACGTCATACACCAGGAAATTGGTAAAATAAAGGGGGGGGGGTCAACACAGCCAGATTCAATCACTCATAACAATCATCAACTTTTACCCGTTCGCGCCCAAGTCACTTGGGGCAGAGAAAGTAGAGTTCATCAATCCCAGAGATCTCGGCATATGAAAGGAAAATGTGATCATCACTATGCTCAGCCACGTTTTACTTTCACTAACGTGTGTTAGGTACCCATTAGAGCTAGGTAGATCCATGGACTATGTGCTGATTTAAACCGGATTCGCACTCGAGACTTTCGGGTTAGCAGTCTAGCTCTCTACCGCTAGGCCACGCCTTATCTTACATCAATACATTTTTAATTCATTATGCAACACCACCTCATATTTTAGAACTGAATGTTTTTATTTTTTCACACATGTCTAACGTTATTATCACCGTAATCATGTTTTATAATTCATTACAATTTATATATATTGCTGTGACACATCTACTTTAATATTCTCACAACACACAAGTATACAATAAAATCTAATAAGCAGAATCGCACTTTGTCCAAGTGTTATAATATTTGAGGTGTGGTAAGAACAGTATCGGTATCTCCAATGTTCCTGCGCATCTAGTAATCGCCAAACGTATCTGAATTGTAATAACAAGTGCACAATTTAAGCGAACCTATAATAAAAAGGTCATATTTATATTTCTTGTTTTTTTTTAATTTTGGCTCAATAAATTGATATTACTTTACATACACTTTCCCTATTTTAGTTTCTCGTATACCTTGTAAAGACGTTTAATACCTGAGTCGGAGAAATTTAGTTTTGCAATTTTGTCCGTAAGTCTGTGTATGCGTGTATGTATGTGTAAGTGTAAAGGCCTATGTCTGTGAACACACTGACTTGAGTACCGTAAAGCTAGGTTGATGAAATTTCATATTGAAGTATTGAATCAAATTTGTAGCTCTGTATCAACTTTTCAGCGATTTCCGGTAACCGGAAGTGGAATTTATTCTACTTTTTTTTCAAAATCATATACTTGAGTACTGTTTCAGATAGATAAATGAAATTCCACATGTAAGTTAAAGATCTAATTATCAGCCATCTATCAAATTTTTAGTTAATGACCGAAAATAGTAATGTAGGCCCTACGTTATTTCCGATTTCTCAAAAAATCGCAAAGGAATTTATAAAGTACTAATATTCCGTGCTATTATACACATGATTCGTTTTCTTCTACAGGATTTTATTCTATTTTAAAAAGTTTAAGTTATTAAAAATGGATCAAAAATCATGTCTATATTCCAAGTAGACAACCACGAAGTGTTATATAAGAATATTCGAGCAAGTTTAGGGGAGATCACTCCCGGTTTGTTTTAGTGTGGAAGGGGTAGGCGGGTGGAAATGTAATAAAAATAAAAGTCGTACAAACAATATAATGTAAAAAATTTTTTGCAAATTCAGAGATTATACATCAAAGAAAATATCTTAATATGCTGCACAATTCAAACAAACATATTTGTGTTTATGGCAACTGTCCAATTTCTTTATATAATCAATTGATTTCATTCATTAGATCCACAATTAAGCTAACCCAACGAAAACTTGTAGGTTTAGAAAAGCTATACGACACAAAAGCTGAACGCATCAGACTGAGAACTAGAGGGTACTTGTATCGACAGGTATTGGCATCCAATCACTGAAACCTTCCGCATGCTTGAGCAATAGCAGCTAATGTTAAGGAACATTTGACGTTCATTTACTGATTAGATCAGCCGTATACCTGGTGTGTTATACACCTGCATTTTATTCCAAGAATTTCCGTATTTAAATAGAAAAAATTGATAGTTTATGTAAATGTAATACACAGAAACACATCAACTGTTTTATATATCCTAATATGATTCTGATTTTGTAAATTAAAGGTATAAAACATTCGTAGGGATCGAAATGGCGTTCTGGTTTGGAAAGGAAATGTGTCGGCTTTGGAGGTGTGTGTTCGTCGTTTGTTTCGCTGGTAAGATTAAAATCGTTTATACATTTTACTTTTCATATTCGTTTTAAAATTGTTTATATGTTATCGATTGGTATACGTTTCATGGGACGGTGTTGTCAGATGGTAAAGCTAATACCTGCTCAACCCGTAGATTGAGTTCGGTTTTAGGACTAAAGCACTGCGTCATGATACATCTTCTACGTGACTACATTAAATTATGGAAAATAAAGAGTCTGGATATAGAACTGACTAAAGTTTCCTGTTTATGCGGATGTCTCAAAAACAGGTGAAATATACTTCATCTGCCCGATAGACGTTCAGGGTAGTTTCACTGTGTTTAATTTTAAATTATGTAAATTCTTGCATAGTAATGCAATGTTCTGACTGTAAAAGTAAAATTTAAAAAAAAATTATATAGATTGTAATAAATTTTATATGTGTACACAAAAGTTACTGTAATATTAGGGTAGAAGAAAAATGCGTAACGGGAAAATGCGCAAAGAAAAAAAACGTACTAAATATGCGCAACAGAAAAATACACTAACAGAAATTTGAGCACACAGAAAATATGCTTAAACAAAAAGTAGGCACCCAGAAAAAATACGAAGACAGTTGTTGTTTAGATTTTGTTAATCAAGAGTTGCTGATCATAAATTAAATGAATTTAAAAAAATGTTAGTTTGTATTTCTTATTGATATATAGGAGAATATGAAGTAAGAATGTAATAAATATTAAGCTTCACTACGTTATTTTAATGATTTTTTGTAGTTAACTATAAAGATTGATATGTCATGTTGTTATTCCAGTTTTATTTCAAAAAAGTAATTTCACAAAGATTTTTTTACCAAATTTTAATGCTCTTACTTCTATGTCAAAAATATGAAATAAACAACGGGGGATGGCAACTCGGGATATAGACATGATTTTAAATGCATTTTTAATTACTTGATTTTTTTAAAAAATAGAATAGAATCTCGTAGAAATGAAAAAATTGCGCACCACGCGAATGGCAGTCAATATGGGTATAATAGTACAAAATACTATTAATGTTTTGTAAATTCACATGCGTTTTTTTAGAAACCGGAAATAGCGTACATTACTACGTCCGGTCAAAACAAATTACTCAATGTTGACATAAGACAGATAATTAGATATTTTACTTACATGTGAAATTTGATTTATCTATCTGAAACAATACTCAAGTTTTAGGCTTTTAAAAAAACTAAAGTACAATACTTTACATTCCCGGTTACCGGAAATGGCTGAAAATTCGACACAGTACTACAAATTTGATATAATACTTATATATGCAATTTCATCAACCTAGCTGTAACGGTACTCAAGTTATCGCGTTTACAGACACAGACACACAGACACACCCACACACACATCCACACACACAGACATACGGACAAGATTGCAAAACTATGTTTTTCCGACTCAGGGAGCTGTAAAACGTCGAGATTTACAAACATCTCGATTTTTTTTCTTTTGCACGATTACAAGACTTTCTCTATGCTACGTAGGCCTATTTACGAGAAAGTAAAAATCGAAATATAAACTCATCGCCTCCCTTTTGAAAAAAAAAAAAGACTTCTGTTTTCCAGGGGAAGCAACTTTACGTAAAAACACTTAAAAAAGGAAAAAGAGAAAATCAAAATAGAAAAAAACAGTTGTATTTTAAGTTTTACGCTAAAACCTAAAGTGTTAAATTATGTTATTTTTATTTAATTTTGATTTTGAGTATGCATTTTAGAAATTTTTAATGAAATAATCATTTTTATTTCAGATATGCTCTAACGTTTTACAACAGCATTTTCAAAAACATTAGAACATTTTCCATTTGCTTGAAGTACAACAATAAATGAAATCTTTATCAAATTTTGGATCCCTTAATGTTAATGGACACAGTAACTTTCAAATCAAATTAAATAATCCAATCACAAAGGTTATTAAGTAGTCGTTAAGAAGGTTGAACTTATCAAGACGTTGACTTAGAACAGAGAATTTGATCTTGTGATTACGTTTGAAATTGTCTATCTATCAGAAACAGTATTCAAGTTACAGGCATTTGAAAAAACCGAAAGTGGAATTAAGCTTCACTTCCGGTTACCGAAATTCGCCAAAAGTTATTACAGACACACAAAGGATGTAATACTTATACATGACATTTCAGCAACCTAGCTGTAACGGTACTCAAGTTATTGTGTTCACACACACACACGCACGCACGCACGCACGCACACACACACATACACACACACACACACACGCACGCACGCAAGCATACAGACAAGATTGCAAAATTAAGGTTTTCCGACTTGATGACGCGAACAATACGGAGATTTTGATAAAACTGGATTTTGAAATTCTGTCTGATTAAAATAAGCCATCTATAACCCGTATTTGATGAAGTACTTAGGTGTAAAACGTTGGATATTGTCAAAATTAATGTAATTTTTGTGAACGATTTTAATACCTCCTTTATTTGCTGTATAAGAATAGTAATAAACCGGGAGTGGTCTCCCCTAAACTTTCTCGAATATTCTTATATAACACAACGGGGGATGACAACTCGGGATATAGACATAATTTTAAATCCATTTTTAAATTACTTAATTAAAAAATAGAATCTCGTAGAAAAAATAATTGCGCACCAAGTGAATGGCAAACAATAAGTGTAAAATAGTGCGGAATATTATTAGTACTATATAAATTTCCATGCATTTTTTGAGAAATCGGAAATAGAGTACATTACTATTCCGGTCAACGGAAATTACTCAACATTTGACGGAAGGCAGAGAATTAGATCGTATACTTATATGTGAAATTTGATTTTATTTATCTGAAACAGTACTGAAGTTATAAGCTTTTGAAAAATTGAAAGGAGAATAAGTTCAACTTCCGTTTACCGGAAATGGCCTATAAGTTTAAATAGAACTACAAATTTGATATAATACTGATATATGAAATGTCATAAAATCTAGCTGTAACGGTACTCAAGTTATCGCGTTTACAGACACAGATAATTACACACACAAACACACACACACACACACACACATGCACACACTAGATACACACAGAATTCGTACAGAATTTCAAAACCTTAATTTGTTTTTATGATTACAATACTTCCTCTATACTTTGTATACGAAAAAGTTATAAAAAAAATAACAAAAAAAAACACACCGGGAAAACCTATTGAGTCATATCTCATCACAGACAATATGTATAAGTCGCGGCAGCATGTAATTAAAACGATCTAACAAAACATATTGCATTTTTTTAAAAACTTCTACAACCTCTACAAACAGGTTGTTTGGCTGTTACCATGACAACAAAGAGCAGCCTGTTTTCGCTAGACCGCCGGACCAACGTGAGAATGTTGTACACAGCTGACCAACTGCTCTACCGCTCCTCATCGCTAGCTTGTGCTGCTGACTGCAGCCATAGATCTGACACGTGCTTTAGCTACAGCTATAGCAAGCAGAATCAATCTTGTCGACTGGGTAAGCCATTCAACAGATATGCATTTACCATAGAATACACTTTTTACAAGGTTTTATTTAACTCGCTTCATCTGTCGTCAGTCTGTCTGTCTAGATCGAAACGCTGGAGTGAAAATTCGGACACCTCTACTTGACCAATACGATTCATATTTGGCACGTGGGTCAAGACATGAAGACAATGCAATCTGAAATTAAATTTGACTTAATTGGATGCCTAATAATTTTTTATGAATTAATTAAAATTTGGACCGAATCAATAGGCATGTCTATCCAACCACATCACACGCGTCATCACGTAGCTGCGCCATCACCTTCAGTAGGCGCGCCATCACTTTCAGTAGGCGCGCAATGGTTTTCAGTCATGTAACTAACTCTATTGTAAATAAAACATGTAAAGTACTGAAAAAAAATTCATAAAAAACGTTTTAATAACAAGCTTTTATGTAATAATGCACTAAAAAGTATATAATAAATTATAGACTACTATTTAAATAACTATAAAGAAAAGCGTGGGTCACTTTAGTATCTATTGGATACCTTTACTAATGTTAAGGTTTGTTGTTGAATTATTTAAAAAATTTCAAGCATTATAATCTTTAACATAAGTTTCTAATCAAAATTAATTGATGATTTAAATTGTTGTTAACATGTAGCCTATCCATCCTGCTGTTTCAAAAACGAATATATTTTTGTATTAAATAGATAAAAGGTTGGTTAAAAACATGAACTTATAAATTGTTTAAAAAACAAAACAAGGTTCAAACTTTCTAAAATAACGCAATTGGTTCCTTCATTTAACGTACAGGGTCATGGTTAGTCCCTGACGCCAGCACCGTAACCACCAACCAATCATATCAATACCCTTCCGGTTCGCTATGTAACACAACAGCCAACTTTACCATCTACACCAACGGAGGCATCAGTGTGTGTTTGTGGTACTCGACAACCAGGGCCAACTATACTTCAGCTCAAGAAAATTGTAGAGGTTTGTGCTTGTGTGTATGTATGTGTGTTTCTCTGTGTGTACGCCAAAATAACACAACAGCCAACTTTACCATCTACACCAACGGAGGCATCAGTGTGTGTTTGTGGTACTCGACAACCAGGGCCAACTACACATCAGCTCAAGAAAATTGTAGAGGTTTGTGTTGTGTGTTTGTGTGTTTGTGTGTGTGTGTGTGTATGTGTGTTTCTCTGTGTGTACGCCAAAATAACAAAACAGTCAACTTTACCATCTACACCAACGGAGGCATCAGTGTGTGTTTGTGGTACTCGACAACCAGGGCCAACTATACTTCAGCTCAAGAAAATTGTAGAGGTTTGTGTTGTGTGTTTGTGTGTATGTAAGTGTGTTTATGTGTGTGCACGCCAAAATAACACAAAAGCCAACTTTACCAACTACACCAACGGATGCATCAGTGTGTGTCTGTACTACCCGACAACAAGGGCCAACTATATATCAGCCGATGATAATTGCAAAGGTTTATGTTGTTAGTTTGCATGTATGCACATGTGTTTTACTGTGTGTACGCACAAATCGCTCATCGAATAGGTCATCATATTAGGCGCCGTTTAGCTAGTAGACTTCAAACTGATTTTTATTTCGGAAGTGGTTTTGTAGACTGGTTTTTTTTTTGAGTTTTTAAACCTTAATGGATATCTACACCCCTTCCTCCTCCCAACTAACGAGAATCAGGTACTCAAACATGGAACATTCAGTATATCAGTCGAGTTCTCAACCAATGTGCTATGATTTTGGTATTTTTTAAAATGATCTTGTATATTTTATTGACATACTGAGTACACATGATTAGCCCCATTATTTGCATGGTGTCGACCGGTAAGAATTAGACATTCTTCTGTTCTGTATATACGATTACGTTCCTTGATAGTTTAAAGGCATATCGATACCGCCTATCCTAGTTGGTGATTAAATGAAACTAAGAAGAAAGTTAAGTGTTATTAGAAATAAATGTGTTCAGTTACAGTACTGGGGGGGGGGGGGAATAAAAATGCTTACAAATCTTTCAAATTTGACGTATTTAGTTAATTGTTTTAGCGGATGGAATGCAGAGGCGTAGCGACCCTTCCCGGAGCCCTGGGATAAACTTTCGATTTGCACCACCCCCTCACACTTTCGATTTGCACCCCCCCCCCCCCCCCCTCAAACTTTCGATTTGAACCCCCCCCCCCTCAAACTTTCTATTTGCACCCCCTCCCCTCGAACTTTGATGTACACACCCCCCTCAAACTTTCAATTTGTTTTTCAAACCATTTTGGCGCCCCCTTAAGGTCGGCGCCTGGGGACATATGTCCAGTCCCCCACCCCCCTCTACCCTCGTTACGCCTCTGCTGGAATGATTAGATTACCTACACAATCTTTTTTAATGAATCGTTATTATATTGTCTTTAATATATTTGAAATATGATATCTTTTTTCCCACATGTGTTGCATTGGTTTGCATTAGCCAAGGGAGCCCAGCTGTACACCTTCAAGATACAGGAGAAGTATAACATACTTCTAAACATCTACAATAACACACAAGTTGACACTTGGATTGGTCTAAATGATATGGTCAAGGAAGGTGAACTCATGTGGGATGATGGGACAACTCTCGTCGATTCCTGGAAAACTGTGATTTTTAAGCCAGGTACTAATTTTTTTTTGTAAGCCTTTTCCATCTAATTAAAAATAAATAAACTTGTCCGTTAGTTCAAGATGAAGAAAAAATGATACAAATCAGAGGTCGAAAATGTCTTGCAAGACACTATGAAATATTATTTAACTGTCTACATAATCCAAAATTAAAATGTATCTACTTCAAAATTATTGGGATTTTATAAATTTTCTTAATTTTAAAAATACATTAAAATACATTATGAAAAATAATAAATACTAGATTTTACCCGTTATAAAATACAATATTAATATTTGTAGAAACATAATTTCTTTTGGAAATTACTCAAGAACTCTATGATGCTTAAGGGGTATATAATTTTTCTTCTATATTTTTGAGTGTTGACAACACAATCCAAAATTTTATTTTCAAATTTTTTTATTTATTTTTAAAACTGCATTATAACGTTAATTAAATACGTTATTTTACCAATTACAAACATATATTATTATGTTTAGATATAAATATATTACTTCAAATGCTGCACAAGAACACTACTGGATTTATTTACTATGATAGGTTTTCTGTTGACAGCACAGTACGCAATAAAAATTGTCCAGTTTTTCAAAAAGTTTGGGGAAAATATTTACTTTTGAATATTCAAAAGTTATGTAAATGCTTTATTATGTTACCAGTTATAACATCCATTATAATGATAAAAATACATATCTAATTTCCAATACTACCCAATAACACTATGATGTTGATTGAATACTGGATTTATCTCCCATGATAGGTTTACCAGATGACAGAGGAGGCGACGAGGATTGTGTGCAACTAAATAGTGCCTACTACCCCCTGAACGACATATTCTGTAACAATTCCAGAAAATACATCTGCGAGATCAACCCAACTGGCTTTTAAATAAAAATTATGTGTGGCTAATCTAAATAACTTGCTTTTAAAAATAAATTACAAAATTGCAAATTGAAACAACTTGATTTTAAAGAAAATATACATCTGTGAAAGAAAACACATCTAGCTTTTAATTATAAATGTCTAACATGATTTATTTAGAATATACAATGTACTAAAATTATGTCCTTAAACATTATTGAATATATTTCTATTTTCACGATTTCAAGTGTCGTTGTGTATAAAATACCTGATAGCACACTTTGTATCGATTTTAAAACGTATAGATTTGTAAAAATCTCGATTCTTTTATTCTTTTTTTTTTGCACAATTACAATACTTACTTTATACTTCGTATACGTTAATGTTAAAATACTTTTTTTATGTGGAATATTTTTTTTTTCATTATTGCAATCTCGAAGATATTTCAGTATAATGTTTGATCATGGTGCGCACCATTTAGTTTTCAAATAAAACGCACACAAAAACAACAACATTGTGTGAACATTTTGTTTTCATTTTGTGAGACTGTAGTTTTTAAAATGGTAGGTTTTATTTTATTACTATAGTTTTTATAGGAATGCATTTTTATCTTTCGAAACAGATAATTAGATCTATAAATAACGTAAATTATAATTAAATATAAAACATAGATTAGATCTAGTCGACATCTAGATTCCATGAAGATTGTAAAATGCAATTCAGAAAGTTTATAAAAAAATTAGTTTAAGTAAAAAGCAGAATGTACGTACAGCGAAACAATTTATGTTTCATTGCAATTCAATGGATAAGACTTAGGTTACATTTTAAGTCCAATAGTCTTGAAAAGTCTATGTAATCATACTAAATTTTAATAATAAATCTTTAAAACAAAATATGTCGAGCGATAAAATTAGCGATGTCAAGCGATAAAATTAGAGCTACATTTTTTAAAGCTGTTTGGGAACCATCGATTCCACAAATGTACATATCTTTTATTGAATATAAGCCGTTGAATAGCCGTTTATAATTTTTCTATCAATTAAAATATTTAAAAACAATCACCGTATCCTTCAAGTCAACCAAAATAGCGTGGCAGAATAAAACACTGAAAGTCAGAACAATTATTTTTCATAATAAAATACACAATAGTGCCCTAGAATATAACACCCCCCTACCACCACAACTTTACTTTACTAATCCGAATTAAAAATAAAAGTGTATGCTAAATTACTATTATATTACTAGCAATTTTTTGGACTATTTCTGGCATTAATAAAACAGGAATTCATTTTGTACTTATTACAAAAAGTATTCAATTTTGGTTGAAAAAAATATGCTTGCTGTCATCAAACATTCAGGACCAGCTTTTCAAGCCTTTTATTATTAGAGACCTCAACCGAAGAGTTATTTAAAAATTTTACGTTTTAATATAATGTCTTAAAAACTAATCAGTGTAAAAATATTACATAAAGACCATTTTTAATTGGATATACACACAGACACATACACTATATACTATAATAACTTATGTTAGTTCTCTAAACCAAAAAAAAATCAAACGCATTTTGTTATGTACTGGTTTCAGTGCGCTTTCAACAAGAGTCTATTTTTGGCATCCATACTCTGTCTAGTCTTCGATACACAGGGAGGTATGGTATCAATCATAATATATCCATAATTTGTAAGCATATTATATTTCTGATGTGATTACGTTACACATAGCAGTTGCTTTGACGCACTTTGTATGTACGAGATTATACCACATAACCATAAAGCAAATACACAATCCGAGGCTTTTTCAAACTTTACTTTTAAGGTATCATTGACATTTGTGTATAGTGTATGTTATCCGCCTGCATCGTCATGGTTCACAAAAAAAACTAAACAAAAAACAAAAAACAAAACAACAGATTTTTATTTCATTTTTAACCCAAAGTTTAGTAAACATAATATTTACACCCTGTACATTTATGAAATAAAACAAACATTGTGAAATAATATCGTGAATTTATTACTTTATTCGTATATTACACTTATAGAAAAACCACATATCCATATTTAGAAATTCTCTATAGCACTATGTAAACTGAATCAAACAAAATGTTCCATTAAAGAGTCTCGTCTATTTACTAATAGAAAAACCACAAATCCATGTTTAGAAATTGTCTAGAGAACTATGTAAATTAAATTTTTAAAAAAGTGTCCCATCACTTCCCAGCTGCCGTATCGAACTACTTCATCTTGGGAGTGCCTTGCTACACCCAGTCCGTCAAACAGTTTTATCTGGCAACATTCTCCCACGAATCTTTCCATGTAGACGTGACGCTAAAAACAAAGAATTACGACAGACCATTTCGTGTTTTGATAACACCTATTTTAATGAAGAAATTCCAGCTCGGCTTATATTCTCTTGATAACTTGGAATCGGACAAGTGAGTTAAGGCACCGATTCTGTTTTAAAACATTTTAATCATTAAATATTAAACTGCAGTAATTAAAATATCAATACTAAATTTTAAAGGTGATAAAAATATGATTACAACTAATTATATTTTATGTCCGAAACGTTAATTATATATATATATATATATATATATATATATATATATATATATATATATATATATATATAATATATAATATATATAATATTTTATATATATATATATATATATATATATATATATATATATATATATATATATATATATATATATATATATATATATATATATACAATCAATTACGATTTTCTAGTGTGGGTGAGTTGTATACGTCCCTTGTATTTACAAGTCGTCCCACGCATATGACGTTCAGCGTAACCATGGTATTGGTGGACAAAGTGACCGGGTACTGGTTCGATTCCATGTTGGCCTTGCCGGTGGATATGCTAAAAGTAGAATACGATGTGCACGGTCTAAGGTAGAATATGTTTACTTGAATCTACTTTACTTTCACGCGTATGGAGTAGCCTATAGAGAAAGTAGTGTAAATGTGTTCAAAATGTAATTAGATTTTGAAAGCTTTTGCAGTTTTTCATCCCCCTACTTTATAGTACACGGTATTTTTTGGATCTATTGTAATCGTGCTAAAATATAAAACGAACGTTTGACATATTTTGAGGTTTTATAACCTTACATAGCCTATCTATTCAAATTTTTAACACGGTTTTTGAACGCTCTATTTGTCGAAGTAGATACTATTCTTTCCTCTAGTTCACGAAGTCAAATGTCAATTTGACAACATGTACTAGTTGATATTATCTTTGAACTTTTAGTAGTATTACCGGCTACACGGAACAAAAGTCCCGGTAACACTGCTATAGGCTAAATTGTATGTAAACTATTGTCTCGTATCTTCATTCTCTGGTGTGTCTAGCACACACATACGGCAATTGATTATCATGTCCACGGAAGATTACAACAAGATTACAGTGGATAGCCCTTTGGGCAGCAGCTATTTTTGGCTAGCAAGGTAAAAATGTGTGTTTCCTTTAACGTTTTACAATAAGGCTTACGCTTACAGAAATCACCTCGATATTGTATGAACTGCATATCCTTACGTCTTCCATGCAAGATTTTTCAAAAACAAAATAATGCAGACGTTGTAATATTTACAGAATGACATGTTTTTTTATCCTTTCTTGGATTATCTTATTTTATTCGTTATATCCGCTAAATTACTCTATATTGCATTTAATTACTCAACATATAAAACGCTGACCACATTTGAAAAACATTTTTTTTTAATATGTTGTATTTTCTAGGGAAGAATTTATCGTTGACACCAGCTATTGTGGAGATAAGGACAAATTGGAATCTGAAGGTATTTTAAAATAATTATTAAGTTTTTTCCAAGTATTGAAATCGTAATGCTTCTAATGCTATATGCATTATCATCATTTCCCGTACGTACCCAAAACACTTGGAGCGAATAAAGTAGAGTTAGTCTGTATCAAAGACCTCGGTATAGTAGGGGTAGTGTGACAACCACACCATCCGAATGATATATATTTGATTCCTATTAATAGACATTTATAAATGCAATTATATTTTAATTTAGTAACAATAACGAATGTCATGTTTATATAATTTGAGAAAATGATCTTTCGAATAACGTTTAACCACCATGATAATTTCCCATTTTTCTCCCCAGTTTTCTACGTATATGGTTACTACGCAATAGGTGTCATCCTTGCAACATGTGAAATTATTTTTGAAGACGAATGCAACGAGAGAGAAATTGAATATCATCTATTAGGTAAGGTTAGGTTGATGGTTATCTGAATACTAACCACAGCTGCAGGATAATCATGCACTGACTTTGTAACCCGTCACTCTCCCGACCAAAGCCCACTCTTTAAAACAGGGGTCTCCAAACTACGGCCCGCGGGCCGGATGCAGCCCGCGAGGTCCTCTCATCCGGCCCACGGAGATCTTTTTGTCCACGGAAAAACAGTTTGTTGGTGATGGCTGAGGAATTTTGTCCAGAAAAATCAAAGACATGCCTTGAAGAAACTGGCCCCCGAACTGAAATTAATTGGATAGTTAATGCGGCCCTCGGACTGAAAAGTTTGGAGACCCCTGCTTTAAACTAACAGCGTACGGGGACGAAGTGGCCTAGCGGTAGAAAGTCTGTAGACCGTCCCTGAGTCCACCCGACTCTGACGTTAGCGAAAGTAAAGGCGGCTGGGCATAGAGCTAACCGACTTAACTCTTCATATGCCGAGGTCACAGAAACAACTCTACTTCACTTGCCCAATATAACTTTCTGGAAAAACAAGAGATCCATTTTTCAGTCTAATATTATAATTTAAAAACGTATATCCGTCTGATATATCAATTGCATCATCCATTAAAATGGCATACAGTTAGAAGTTCTCCGGAAATCAAATCACATGTTGTAAGTTTATTAGGAATAATTGCCTTCAAACGCCCCCCTTTCAACAAGTGTTACCAAAATCGTGGAATCGACATCAAATGAAGTCATTCAGTTCTTCTTCGTGTCTTATCCTCATAAGCCCGCCAGGAATGCAAGAACTGCTCGAGCGAGAAGACCCAGCCCCAAATTCATATATATATATATATATATATATATATATATATATATATATATATATATATATATATATATATATATATATATATATATATATATATATATATATATATATATATAAAGTAAACAATGGATGGCGGTGAGGCATTCAACGTTGTTTATTTAAGGCAGGGGTCTCCAAACTTTTCAGTCCGAGGGCCGCATTAACTATCAATTTTCAGTTCGGGGGCCAGTTTCTTCCAGGCATGTCTTTGATTTTCTGGGCAAAGTTCCTCAGCCATTACCAACAAACGTTTTTTCCGTGGACAAAAAGATCTCCGCGGGCCGGATAAGAGGACCTCGCGGGCCGCATTCGGCCCGCGGGCCGTAGTTTGGAGACCCCTGATTTAAGGAATCTCTCTAGGTGGTAGGGAGGGGAAGCAGAATTCAAACCACCCTTGAGCAATTTCACCTCCTTGTATCCACGTCCCGTTCAGCATACATTAGATTTAGAAATTATGAAATATATACTTTAACCAGTGTTAACTCCCTTCCACACCCGGCAATTTTAAGACACGCTCAATCCTGATCCTGATAAAATTACCTGAAATAAACCTGAAATTAGTTATCATTTTTTTTTGGTTACCCTTCTATAGACCTACCCTATTAAATGCGAATGAATCATTTTATCAAGTGTTGAGGTTTTTCTTAAGCTTTCGATATCTTATGTAATTTTTTTTTTATAAACTGAACTGAAATTGAGGTTATTGTGTACTTTGTCCGTTACAGAGAGTGTTCATCCTACGATGAAAGATGGCAACGAATACATTGTGTTTAGTATACTCGGCCGAATGTATCCGGCATCTTCTACCTTGGAGGATGAAGTCAGTATCATACCGATATTCGGCACAACAACCGTTTCGGTAGTCGGAAAATTCGACATCTACTTTGAGAGTAACCTTGGGCAAAAAAAGGTGGGATTAAAATTAGCGAAATTCGACATCTACTTTCTTGACAGATATACCAAGGTAGGGGAAGTAAGGTGGGATTAAAATTAGGGGAATTCGAAATCTAATTTCTCGAGCGATATACCAATATAGGGAATGAAAAGAGTGATTAAAATTAGAGGAATTTGACATCTACTTTCTTGACCAATATACCAGTATAGGGAATGAAAAGTGGGATTAAAATTAGGGGAATTTGACATCTAATTTCTTGACCGATATACCAATATAGGAAAAGAAAGGTGTGATTAAAACTTAATTAAAATATGGGGAATTTGGGTTGATACCCATGCACATAATAAATATCAAGTTTAAGATTAATAAAGATGGTTATGACGCCTAGCGCAGTAAGTATCTCTTTATGTATAGAACTACAGCTATTGATCGGTAGACTCGAATATTTGTTAGAACATTATCTCCTGTCCTGTTTAAACTCTGCTAAATTCCGCGCTTCTCCTGATGCTTAAAACACGTCTGAACTCTTGTGACCATCGTTTTGTTTGTTGCCAGTTTTTCATTTGTCAAACACTTTAACTTGTTTACAATGTATCGCAAGTCAGTGTCGTTTAACTGGCTTCTTCTTCTACGTAACAAATTGTTATTTTGAAGGGCTTCTAATTCGTATTCAATATAACCTGTCATGTGCCCGTCCCTTTGACTCGAATATAATCCTGCTTTTCTTTTACATTATTTAACTTTCGGTTTTCAATAATTTTATTGCAACAAAAAAAATACCAAAAACAAATGCGTTTCTTTTAACGCACCCGAGCGCTGCATCATTTATGACGAAATTATTTAAATATCAATTGATATACGATAAACATCTTCCTCTTTTTATTTTTTTGTTCCTAAATAAAAATAATTGTTATTTAGGAATACATTTACTTCAACACAATTAATTATTACATTTCAACATGCTAGTCTTTTTTCTGCAACAGCATTCTTCCATCAAATGACCAATTACAAGACATTCGTTTGGTTTTGGACTCCTAAACCTATTCTGACTTTCTTCCACTTTAGATCAAGTTAGAGAAGGACAAACCCTTGCATATCAAGTCAGATCAGTTATTTATGTGTTTCTACATCTTTAAGGGTCTGGACTGCCAATCAGCTATGTCTGTAGGTACCATGATGCCTATATTCATGTTCTACTTCACCTACATGATCAGGTTAGTTAAACAAGTCTTTTTAATTATTACTTCCGTTTTCTCTATAACATAGTTAGCTTATGGGATGGCGTGGCCAAAGCGGTAGAGCTCTAGGCTGTGTACCCCAAAGTCTGGGGTTTAAATCCTAGTCCAAGTAAGCATAACGCCCCTGAGTCAACCCAGCTCTGATGGGTACCACGCCCATATTAGGAAAAATAAAGGCGGCTGGGTAAAGTGTTAACCACACCTCCCTTCATATACCGATGTCAATAACCATGAACTTTAATTCAAATGCCCAATGTATCTCTATATTTAAAAAAAAAGATTCTTTGATATTATTTTACGATTATTTTCAATAACTTATATTTCTTATGTTGTTATTAAAAAAAAAATTGCATTTTTATTTATTTCAGCGTTCCATTTCCGTACCACCCGACCTCTAGGGCCTCCGCTTTCATTATTGTAGTGTCAAAAAAAGATAAAGTATCTGACATATTTCTTGATGACAAAAATATTACATTATTTAGGTGAGAAACAAGTATTAACGCTTGATAATTGTATAAATCTATGTATAAATCATTAAAATACATACATGCTTTAAAAGAGTATGTCTTGTTTTCGTCTATCCCATATGGTTGTCTCAAACAATACGCGTTTTATGTATATGTTTCTTTTATTATGAGGTATGTTTGACTTGTGACTAACTAATTTATCATATACTGTTACCGTTTGTTATGGTGCCTTTAACGACGGCCCATCCGGCGTACACACTGTCAGTTCAATCTCACTAAAACAAAATATATGTTCGGTTAAATGTGTTATATTCAAGACAAAACATTCGGTCAGCAACATTGTATGCAATTCAATAGGTGACATGATTTTTAAAATAGAGCGTTATAGGTCACAAACGCGCACACATAAGACGGTAGTATGAAATACGTGTTGTGGGGAAAGTATTGGAGCTAATATCATTCTAAGTGTTACCCTCCACCCCCCCCCCCCAGATTTCACAATATCAATTACTGGGGGGGGGGGGGGGTAACTGAAAAAGTTATATTTACATTTTATTATTGTGTGATATTAAGTTTATTCCGATCTCTCTCCCTTTTCTGATAACGTTTATTAAGCTGTTAAACAATAATTAATGTGCAGTCATTATTATAAAAAAGTGGACATATCTTTTATATGTTTGTAAGTTAGGTGTACCAACATTTTGTAAATAGTGTGCACATATTTGTCATAACGTTTTGGAAGTTATTTATACAAAAAATTATGTAAGTTATCCATCTGTTTAAATATTATGTAACCGGATCCTAGTGCCGACATAGCAGATGTCAACGGAACAGATTATCAGGTGTTGGCTCTGAGAGTCTCAGCTGGGCCGCATTATTCCTACTCACGTAGATTTTATCAGTACGGTCTCTACCTGTTGGCGTATTCTGGTAGAGGGGCTCTACTGCAGCATGGTGGATACAAACCTACAACTCTCAAATATTCTGACGTACGTACATCTGCAGATCTTTGTTAATTAGATACTAGATTAAGTTAGTAACAGACATCGTGAATACGACGATTAACATTTTGGTTAGTTTAAAGGTATCATTACTTCCGTTGGGGGTCGAGTCGGTAAAGCTCATAGCTGCTAAACCGAAAAGTCTTGAGTTTGAACCGTTGCTCAGATGAGGCTCGTTAGCTGAGGACAGCAACACCAAAATCAAACAATTGCTTCCTTGTGGTTTGTTCATGGTTGGACAAAGGCTATGGAAGCAATACCAAAAAGAAAAGCAGGCTGAAATCGGAGTCAACGACATATGCCGCATATGAAAGTTAAAAGGCAATACTTAATTAGATTGGAAGGAAACGTTTCCAACACTAAAAATAAGAACCAAGAAGAAGACGAAATTACTTTCATGGATAATTATTTATACTAGTTAAAACACAAAGTAAAAATGTAGGTGTATATTGAGTAAAGTAATATCAGGTAATATCAGCATTACTAAATAAACATTGAACTGATTTATATATGCCAAAATTATGAAGATCATTATTTTCTTTATATCATCAGAATAAATTGCCATTTTGTAATTATTTTTAGCTTTAATAAAATGATATTCAATTATTTAAAAAAAATGAAATTTTAGACTGTAGACATAATAAAGTAAACGAGCCGACCCGCAGCGTATCATACGCCGCTATTTAGTTGTTTTCTAATAAGTGTTCATAATTTGTGAATTCGACAGTACCAATGCTGCCACTGAAAATATTTGCTTTAAAACACTAACCCCCCCCCTTCCCCCAATCCCGACCCTACATCCCCCCCCCCCCCCCCCGTGAATGCAGCCTCCTCTTAGTTATTTCTTAGTTACCTCCTGTAAGTTTAAAATCGAACTAAACTATCTGCCCCTAATAGAAACCCAGCTCTACGGCTCTACGATTATGTAAACATTTAGCTTTGTAAACATTTAGCTTTGTAAACATTTAGCTTTGTAAACATTTAGCTTTGTAAACATTTAGCGTGACCACAGACAATGTGGGGGTGGGGTGGGGGGTGGTAGTGATAGTGATAGAGAGAAAGAGAGGGGACTGCAAGGAGGCGCTTGCAGCTTGTTTTCTAACGGCTCCCAGAAGAGAATTATATATATAGATTTCTTTTGTTTGTAGTCTTGTCAGCGTACTGCCTTTAAGCCTGGGGATCTACTAGATAATGACTGTGATGGTCTGGTGGATGAAGATGATCCGGGTGAGCCAAATTACCTGACCAGTTTGAAGATTCAACTTACGACACCTGAGTGTCTAGACAATGAAATGAACAAACATGTTAAAATTTTGATTCATTAATTATTTTTTTATTAATTAATTTTTTTAGTAAGCACCGATTCAAGATTTGGTTCTACGATGGCCACTACTAGTCTATAGCACGTTACATGGCCGACCGTTGTGGTCGATTGGTAGAGCTCACTACTGCCTACCGGAAAGTCTTGTGTTTGTATCCCGGTCTTCAGTGTGTGGGGTGTCCCTGAGTTCACTCAGCTCCGTTGGGTACCTGACTTACATTAGTGAAACAAAAGCGACTGGGCGTATTACTGACCACACTATAGGATCGTACGCCGAAGTAATTAAAAAATATGAACCATGCTTCATCTGACCCGTGTGTCTTGGGCACGAACGTTAAATGATGATTATAGTATGGCATAACATAATGTTATTTTACAGTCAGATGTTTATATAATGTATATATATATATATATATATATATATATATATATATATATATATATATATATATATATATATATATATATATATATATATACATATTTATATATACATTTTCAACGATCAACATACATTTAAACTTCATACTTTTAAATGTGTACATATCTTCTAGGGGTTTATAACGAAAACGATTTGTCCTATGGGGATGATTTGCAGAGAGGCCCAGCAAGTAAGTTCAAGTTAGATATTCTAGGTTTAAACATCACTCTGCTAGGTAGCAACATCACTGACCTAGATATCAACATCACTGACCTAGGTTTCAACATCTGTGACCTAGGTTTCAACATCACTGACCTATGTATCAACATCACTGACCTAGGTATCAACATTACTGACCTAGGTTTCAACATCACTGACTTAGGTTTCAACATCTCTGACCTTGCGTTCAACATCACAGACCTAGGTTTAACATCACTCAGTTTATTATGCTTTTAAATATATATATATATATATATATATATATATATATATATATATATATATATATATATATATATATATATATATAATTACACGTGAAAAGCTACAATTTATTATCAATACTTTTTAAAAATAAAAACACGGGTAAATATGAACAAAAAGTAAAGACCCCCTACCCAACCTAACGGTCTACGGGGCAAGTGAAGTGGAGTTCTCTTGTTCTGTGACCTCGGCATATGAAGAAATATTACAGTCAGCACTGCGAACAGCCCCCTTTACTTTCCATAACATGAGTTAGGTACCCATTAGAGCTGGGTACACTCAGAGACTGTCTATTGACTTGAACCCGGATTCGAACTCGAGACTTACGAATTAGTAGTCAAGCTCTCTTGTGAGGTACGTTATACATATTCACTAATTATCTTAATTTATATTAGTTTTGTTCTTATTTGGGTTTCAAGTGCCACCCCCCCCCCCCCACTCAACCGGAAAAAAAATCGTAAAACATTGTACCTAATGCGGATGGATGTAGCTTTAATTGGGTCAAATCAAATGTTTATTTTACTTTATTCCATGTATCAGTTGACGGCGGTTGGGGATTTTGGGATGAATGGACCTGTGACGGTGAAATTAAATTCCACACTCGCAAGTAAGATTAGCTGATTGCTACATCTAGACAAATGTGTATTATTACACTCTTACGCAAACATTCTACACTCGCATGTAAGATATATATATTTAAATATATATATATATATATATATATATATATATATATATATATATATATATATATATATATATATATATATATATATATATATATATATATTTATATATATATATATATATATATATATATATATTTATATATATATATATATTTATATATATATATATATATATATATATATATATATATATATATATATATATATATCGTGTTACTTATTTGTAACACTGAAGTGCATTGGGTCGCTAACAATATTAGTCTTAAGTACCAGATGTCGGCTGTAATGCGAGAGTCATGAAAACTCCCTTCATTAACATTGTCTTAAATGTTAAACTTTTAAACACAATTTCTAATTTTGGCTTATTATTTGAATACATCCAATAAACGTGACTCCCGACAGGAGAAAGTGTGAGAGATGGACTCCACAGTTTGAAGGGATGAACTGCAAGGGGTACGGACTGGAAATAAAAAACACGTCATGCCCTGGGGAAGATTTTCGTGGTACCATTTCGTTTTTGTATTTGTTTCAGTTCACATTGAATAACAGAGAGAGTGTAGTGCAACATAGAAATTTACTCGGATAACATTGTAAAGTTTTAGTCAATTTTTAAATCACATTCGGAAGAAACACGGATTGCAAACATCGTTTTCTTGAACTAATCTATTGTTTCCTCTTCCTTAAACTCATAAAACTAATCAAAGTTTAGAAATTAATCATTTCCTGCATACGTTTAGAACATATTTAAAATAGTCTAACTCCAACACCATACTAAATCATACCACACAGCACCATACCACACCACACCACACCACAACTAAACCTTCTTCTCAGGCACTATATACTTTGAAGGAATACGAGTGGATAAAATCTACAACCTACATACTTATAACCTTATAACTTGCACTAATAATAATGCAGTCTCATTATCTTGATCGTACTTATGCATTGAATAATCAACTTATTTCAGTAAATTCGAAGATTATTCTTCATTTTGAAAAAAAAAAAAAAAAAAAAAAATAATTAAATTACCAATTTTTAAAATCTTACCATTAAAATATTAAATTTCAAATACACTGATAACTCTTACATGTGTGTAATATTCCATTACCTCCCAATATGTTTAGTCAAATGTAGTGGCTCATTCTACGGACCAAAATGCGATAAACGATGTCCAACATGTCTCAATGGCTGTGACAGGCTGAACGGTACCTGTGAGAATTGCAGACCGGGATGGACAGGGGACAGATGCTATATACGTAAGTTAAGGCAAACATGTATAGATAACTTTATTGGAAAACCCACACACATTGTATTGACAGTCATCATCATTATCATTCATTCGGCCCCTTGTGGAACGTAGTGACGCAACCACACCTCTCCTTCGTACTGGGCAGTAGCGTCGCGAGGTCGGGTGTCACTCGGTGCGGAAACTCATGGTGTCAACCCTCTCTTCCGAAAAAAAACTGTATATATATATATATATATATATATATATATATATATATATATATATATATATATATATATATAAATTCACTTAAACATTGAAATTATTACATTGTGTCCCACTAGTAGAACACGCGAAAGCCTATATTAATATGCAATTTATAATTTAATACTCATAAACTGGCCTATACAAATAATCGTTTGTAAGCGTATACAAACAAGGATATAATATTTAAATCTCTAAACCACTAAGAAAGAGAGGTTGTAATTATTATGTATCTGTAAATGTGTGTGTGTGTATTTTTAACAGCATGTCCCAGTATGACATACGGTCATGATTGTAGAGAGTCGTGCTCAGAAAAATGCAAAGGTCAGGACTGTATTGAAAGACGTACAGGGATGTGTCCTGGTCGTGAGTACATATAGCTCACAAATAGATAGACACACTCACACATAAATATACACACAGAAACACACATAAATAGTCACACTCACATATAAATAGAAACACTCACATATAAATGAACACACTCACACATAAAGAGACACACTCACACTCACACATAAACAGAAACACTCACATATAAATGAACACACTCACACAAATAGACGCACTCACAAATAAGTAGACACACTCACACAAATAGACACACTCACATATAAATAGACACACTCACACATAAATATACACACTCACATATAAATAGATACACTCCCACATAAATAGACACACTCACACACAAATAGACACATTCACAAATAAATAGACACACTCACACATAAATAGACACACTGACACATAAACACACACACACACTTCATTTTACACAACCACTCATAATAAGACACACTTACACATAAATAGACACACTCACACATAAACACACACACTTCATTTTGTACACCAACTGATAACTAGACACTTTCGCACAATAAATACACACTTCATTTTACACAACTACTCATAATTAGACACACTCACACATAAATACACGCACACACACCACCCACACTACGTTTTCCGCAACCACTCATTAACTAGATACACTCACACATAAACACACACACACTTCATTTTACACACCAACTCATAATTAGACACACTCACACAAATACACACACACACTTCATTTTACACACCCACTTTTAATTAGACACACATACACACACACTTCATTTTACACAAACACACATAACTAGATACACTCACACATAAATACACTTACATTTTACTTTTCACACTCACACATAACTATATACATCAACACACATCTAGACACTTTCCCATAATACGAAATACACACTCACACATAACTATATACATCAACACACATCTAGACAACTGCCCATAATACGAAATACACACTCACACATAACTATATACATCAACTCACATCTAGACACTTTCCCATAATACGAAATACACACTCACATATAACTATATACATTAACACACATCTAGACACTTTCCCATAATACGAAATACACACATAACTACTTACACTCACACATATTTCGACGTACAAACTTGATAAGACAATAACATATATCCACACTTAAACACCCACTCATAAAGACATGCATAAACAAATGGCTACTTAAACTCACATATCACTGTATACAAACATATTACTACACGCATCAACACATAAATATATACACCCACGCATAACTCTGTACACCCGCACACAATGTTTTTTCCAGACTTTTTTTTCAGTTGGGGGGGGGGGCACTTGAAATTTCCAGGGGGTGGGGGGAGGGGGGATAACATTTCTTGGGGGCGGACACTATTAAAATTGTCTATTTTCTATAGAAATTCAATTTCGTTCCGGGGGCGAGGGGGGCGTTAGATTCTTTGTAAGAGATGCCTGGAAGAAACACTGCCCACACTTAATTACATACCATTCTTATGAATTAAAATCACCTTGCTTACCTATCAGTAGAGGTGATATATAGGGTCTATTATATATATATATATATATATATATATATATATATATATATATATATATATATATATATATATATATATATATATATATATATATTTAATTTCCTTGTGCGTGTGTGTATGTGTGTGCTAGTGTTGGTGGCGGATATTGAATATTAGCAGCAATAAACTTTTTTTCTATACAACAGCAACATATACGATGCCTCTGATTCTGGTCTTCTACATGGTGATCATCGTTATATTCATTTGGATGTGCGTGTTCGTTTTCTGCACAAGGTAAGATTTTACTGCTAACGACTGGATTATCTTGATTCGTGATTAAATATACAAGCTTAACTTATTAGTTGCTCATGACTCAAATATTGCTAAAAATACTTTTTAATTTGTGAAATTTTATGATATAACACTAATTACTTTAACCAAATGCATCAAATATCCTGAGAAGATCTTTGAAAAATTCCATGGGTGTTTAGAAACATTTGCTTGTTTAGTGTAAATATGATTTCCTAATAGATTGTCTGAGATCATTTGTACATGTATTTTTTTTAATGAAATCACACATATTCATACACACAATGACACAAACACACACGCACACACACACACAAATATATATATATATATAAATATATATATATATATATATATATATATATATATTATATATAACTATATTGACATATTATTATGCATATATTATAATCATAAATAATATATTGTACGTTTGTTTATTTCAGTGTTATTAGTGACTTAGAGTCAGCTCCCCCTGTTCATCCTGATGTTGTTGTAGTGAAACGTCAATCTTCTAAAGAATACACACTGACTACACACATCTTCGATACTAAAGTTTAAAATAAAACCGAAATTTACAATATATGGAATTATATATATATATATATATATATATATATATATATATATATATATATATATATATATATATATATATATATATATATATATATATATATATATGTATAAATTAACTCATGATTTGTCGATTTATTTTATTTAGTGCAAATTATTTAATTAGAAGTGGTTTGTTTCAATAGAGCACTGTTGTCTAGGACAACTTTTATAATATGCTGTAGTTTCTTCACTTGAGAATCAGATTTTATAGAGCAGTTTAGCCTTGTTGAGTCGTATGTACACGTTTAGGAAAAGAAAAAAAAATACATGATACACGTGCAATAGATTATTAACTTTATAAATATAAATAAATGCTTACTATGTATTAACAGCATTTGTGTTTGCAATTTTACTTATATGAGGAAAGTTTCTCAACTGAATCCTTACACAACAATACTCTTTGAAGAGATGCACCACACCAGAACCAAGATAGTAACATAAATGTATTGACACTACTCATACAATTTTGCAACTTAACACAGTAAAGCCCGTAAAATACAATGTTAAAAGCAGAATAATGGCTACCTTGGCTAGGTTCGATAATATAGTTCCGTGAATGCTGAGTCAATATTGAAAGATTCTAATGACTAATTTGTAATCCCGCACCCCCCCCCCCCAGCCTCCCCCCACGAACATATCTAAACAATAATAATAATAATAATAATAATAATAATAATAATAATAATAATAATAATAATAATAATAATAATAATAATAATCTATATATATAATTCTCTTCTGGGATCAGTTAGAAAACAAGCTGCAAGCGCGTATTGCAGTCCCCTCTCTTCCTCTCTATCACTATCACTACCACCCCCACCCCACCCCCACATGATCTGGTGAGCGGTGTTCACTCTGTTTACATTTTACAATCATAGAGACGGGTTTGGTGACGGCTATTAGGGGCAGATAATTGAGTTTGAAACTATTTTAAACTTAGAGGAGGTAACTAAGAGGAGGCTGCTTTCACGTGGGGGGGGGAGGGGGTTTAGTGTTTTTAAGCAAATCTTTTCAGTGGAAGCATTGGTACTGTCGAATTCACAAATTATAAATTACTGAAAAGTAGAAAAAAACAACAACTAAATAGCGGCGTATGATACGCAGCGGGTCGGCTCGTAATAATTATAATAATAATAATAATAATAATTGTAAACACAATTTTAAGTACAATTTTAAAAACATTTTACTTTTTTTATTTTTTTTTAAATCACAAAATTGGTTTAATTAATTAGAAAATTAATGAAATTCCTTTGTGGAAATAGAATGAATACTATTTTATTTTAAATGTTACTTGTAATTATAAAATTCACGATGTGTAATTAGGAAAAGCAACTGTTTTTTTTTAAAGTACTTCACTCGTTATATTGTGGTTGTTACCCTTTTGCTTGTAATACATATACGAATAAGAATGCATGCAAATCAACCACAATGAGGAAGGTCGAAGTCGTACTTCATAAAACTAATAAATACAATACCTATACATTGTCTTGCATACAATGTATGTGTAGTCTATCTGCTTAGATTAACTAAACTCTTTTTATTACAGAAAATATAATGCAAACATATATCTAAGGCACGCTCCTTACTTTAGCATGTTATTAGAATTACCTTAAAAAGATATACAAAGAATTTCGTTAAATTTATTTAACCAAAAGAGAGTTAATTGTACTTTTGAAATATTAGAAACGTACTGGATACTTGTTTTTTAAGTAAAAGTATACCTATGTTACCGAATTTCTGTACAACAGCTGTCTACAACACCATCAACTTGCACAGTTACAAAAACGTACAACACAATGGACCAAGCCGGGTACAGAACACAACTTTACTAAAGCTTCCACAGCCACATTTACACATCACACTACAAGCCACACATCCACACTAATCAACTACATTGCAATCGACACAGCCGCATTTACACTACACATCACACTACAAGCCACACATCCACACTAATCAACTACATTGCAATCGACACAGCCACACTTACACTGCACATCACACTACAAGCCACACATCCACACTAATCAACTACATTGCAATCGACACAGCCACATTTACACTGCACATCACACTACAAGCCACACATCCACACTAATCAACTACATTGCAATCGACACAGCCACATTTACACTACACATCACACTACAAGCCACACATCCACACTAACCAACTACATTGCAATCGACACAGCCACATTTACACATCACACTACAAGCCACACATCCACACTAACCAACTACATTTCAATCGACACAGCCACATTTGCACATCACACTACAAGCCACACATCCACACTAACCAACTACATTGCAATCGACACATCCACATTTATACATCATACTACAAGCCCCATAGCTACACTAATCCACCACACTATTGCCCACACATCCACTTAACCCTATTACACTACAAACCACGCAGTCACAATAACCCAGTAGATTAAAGCCCACAACACCACACGACGGGAATGCACATCAACATTACCCCACTACACTACAAACCACACATCCACACAGCTACATGAACCCATTACACTACACCAGAGGGGTAGCTAACAAAATATGTAAAATTTTATTACACCAAAACAACCGCTTAAAAAAAAAACTATTTATAAACGGTATGGGGGGGGGGGGGCGCAAAACAGATAGTTTACCACTGGGCCCGGTGATCACTAATTCTCTGGAATAAGCATACATAGCCACACTATCCATGCTACAAACCACATTTACCCAACACACTAAAGCCCACATAGCCACACTATCCATGCTACAAACCACATTTACCCGACACACTAAAGCCCACATAGCCAAACTATCCATGCTACAAACCACATTTACCCAACACACTAAAGCCCACATAGCCAAACTATCCATGCTACAAACCACATTTACCCGACACACTAAAGCCCACATAGCCAAACTATTCCATGCTACAAACCACATTTACCCAACACACTAAAGCCCACACAACCAAACTATTCCATGCTACAAACCACATTTACCCAACACACTAAAGCCCACACAACCAAACTATTCCATGCTACAAACCACATTTACCCAACACATTAAAGCCCACATAGTCACACTATCCATGCTACAGAGGCGTAGCGACCCTACCCTGGCGCCCGGGGACAAACTTTCAATTTGACGTCCACCCCCCCCCCCCCCCGGAGCAAATTTTGAATTTGCACCCCTCACCCCTCAAAGTTTCGATTTGCACCCCCCCCCCCCCCGAAAACTTTCAATTTGCGCCGCCCCCCCCCCCCCCTCAAACTATTAATAATGCAAACATGCAGCTAAAATGAAATTTTAATTTGTTTTTACAAACCATTTTGGCGCCCCCTAAGGTTGGCGCCCGGGAACATTTGTACCCCCCTGCCCCCCCCCCCCCATCGCTAGGCCTCTGCCATGCTACAAACCACATTTATCTAACATACTAAAGCCCACACAACCAAACCATCCCATACTACAAACCACATTTACCCAACATGCTAAAGCCCACACAACCCCACCATCCCATACTACAAACCACATTTACCCAACACAAAAGCCCACACAACCACACCATCCCATACTACAAACCACATTTACCCAACATGCTAAAGCCCACACAACCCCACCATCCCATACTACAAACCACATTTACCCAACACTAAAGCTCACACAACCACACCATCCCATACTACAAACCACATTTACCCAACACTAAAGCCCACACAACCCCACCATCCCATACTACAAACCACATTTACCCAACACTAAAGCCCACACAACCACACCATCCCATACTACAAACCACATTTACCCAACACTAAAGGCCACACAACCCCACCATCCCATACTACAAACCACATTTACCCAACACAAAAGCCCACACAACCACACCATCCCATACTACAAACCACATTTACCCAACACTAAAGGCCACACAACCCCACCATCCCATACTACAAACCACATTTACCCAACACAAAAGCCCACACAACCACACCATCCCATACTACAAACCACATTTACCCAACACTAAAGCCCACACAACCCCATCATCCCATACTACAAACCACATTTACCCAACACTAAAGCCCACACAACCAAACCAACCCATACTACAAATCACAGAACCACATTGATCCAACACACTACGACCCACACAAACACGTTACTGAAACACACAACCACATAACTCCCCTACACTACAATCCACACAGTCATATTAACCCACCACACAAACACACACGTCTATCACACAGCACATAATGTCAATGACCCACTTAATCCCCACGACTAAGTTAACAAACCTTTATCTATTTTAAACTTCTCCCCACTTAAGCAAAGGGACTTAACAGAGAAAGGGGAAGTAAATCCAGCAAGGATCCTTATCTCAAAGTAACTCATTTTACTCTCATATTTCGTCACTGCATATTCACTTATACTGCAACACGTTTTATAGTGTGTGCATTTTAAAAATGGTTACGGTTTACATATAATTTAATAAACAAATTAATTAAACAAAAAATATACTTTTATAAAGATATATATATATTTTAAAAGCCTTCGCTATTTTAACCCCGTTGAGAAATAAATAAAAAGCTATACAATTCAGGGATTTACTCTTCTGTCTCCGTCCTGACTGGCGAATTTTTAAAAAATAAACCCATACACTTTTTAAAAAAAAAATATTATAATTCCTTTCAAATTCAGGGATATAAATTTAAACCAGAATAGCAGCAATATTTTAATTAAAAAGATACATATCTTTAGAATACATTTTGTATCTATTCAAATAACTAGTCCTATCTTGTAACTTTTAAGAAGCGCCTTAAACGTTTCCATCTAAAGGGGGGGGGGGCGATTTTTCCAGAAACATGAGTAACTATTAATACAAATGGAAGCAAGGGGTCGAAGTTGAAATTCCGCCCCTTGGCGGAGGGTGATTGACAT